CGCGGCCCCGGCGTGTTCCAGCGCACAATTCAATTTCACACTCCAGTTGTGTTGTTGATTACGCTGCCAGATTCAGATTAATGTGCGTTTAACGAACACGGATCAGCCGGCGCTGGGTGCCGCGGTAACGGGGGTCTCGGGACGCGCAGCCCATAAACGTGATGATTGATTAAAGCAGTAATTACTCGTCCAGCGGCAGCGTCTCATCAGCCCGCGTGTCATCGCTCTGTGTTCGGGGCGTGGAGGAGTAATTCAATCTGCAGCCCGCCCTGACCCCTCACACACACACACACACACACACACACACACACACACACACACACACACACACACACACACACATAGGGTTCAGTTTGTCTGGAGTGTTTGTTCCTGAAGCACACTGAGGCTGTGAGATGCTCCTCCAGATTGAATGATGGAGCAGCTGTGTGGCAGTAGAGCGCTGGTATCTGTGGCACACACTGCTCACCACACAGCCCGGTCAGCTGATCATCAGAGGAACAGAAGACAACAGCACTCAGACAGTCCTGCTGTTATTGGTCATTTGACAGACGTCTGAATGCTGCTGCGTCATGTTTCTGCATGAACAGGAGCATCTGTGAATAATATTGATCATTAATGATTATAGATCATCAGTGATCATACAGAGACTGAACAGGAGCTGCTCTGAGCACTATCTAGACTTACTCTGACGTTCAGTCGCACTGTTTTCCAGCAGTTCTCTACAGTTTCACCAGGAAAGATGACAGAGTGTGTGTGTGTGTGTGTGTGTGTGTGTGTGTGTGTGTGGGCAGTTTGAGGGGTGTTCCCTCAGTAGACAGCACTGCAGTGAGCGATGATGAGCGGCTGGAGGATCATCAGACCCCTAATGAGAAAACATGAGCATATTCTGTGTGTGTGTGTGTTTGTGTGTGTGTGTGTGAGAGAGAGTGTGTTATCTCTTTTTGATGCACCGATGTGTGTGTGTGTGTGTGTCTGTGTGTGTATTTGTGTGTGAGAGAGAGTGTGTGTTATCTCTTTCTAATGCACCGATGTGTGTGTGTGTGTGTGTGTGTGTGTGTGTGTGTGTGTGTGTCTTTGTGTGTGAGAGAGAGAGAGTGTGTGTGTTATCTCTTTCTGATGGATGTGTGTGCGTATGTGTGTGTGTTTCCCATATGTATATGTCTGGGTGAGTATGTGAGTGTGTGAGTTTGTGTATGTGTCTTATTGTTTGTATGTGTGTGTGTTTGTCTGGGGCACTGCTGGGGCAATGTGGTTGTTGTGTGGGGGGGGCTGTTTTATGGTAAAGTTAGGATGATTATAAGGGCCCATGTGCTTTTGGGGTCCACAAAGCTACTATTAGTGGCTCACCGATCTTTACTTTAGTCCATGACACCAACACCAGCTCTACCAGACCTATATACAGGGCCGGCGCGTCCATAAAGGCGACCTAGGCAGCCGCCAACCACCTATCTGTTGTTACCCCTATCTGTTCTGGGACCTCGCAATTCACAAAATAAGCACTGTATATACACATAGTTAGCCTGCAGGTGTATAGTACATAGGGGATGTCTGTGTGAGGGAGTTTACTTGTTAACAATGCCTCGGCGACAGAGCCATGCTCACTTTGTCTCATCAACCATCTACCCACATCCTAAAACTCATTTAGGGTGGACCAGCCCTGTAGCACTGTTATTCACTGTACTTCCCATTGGCAATCCTATAACCCTCTCTTCACATCAGGGGGTCCAATCACTCTACCAAAATATTACAGAGACAGTACCCCCACTCTCTCAGGGCATCATCATAGACTGCCTGATCAACCTGCCTACCTGTTCACTGTTTATCCTCTCACTTCCTTTTACCCCACTGTTCCCTTACCACCCCCTTCATCCCTACAACAAAGTCTAGACAGTGTGGTATGGTCCATGATGGTGAACAGATGTGTAATGAAGTGTGTGTGCGTGTGTGTGTATTAAGTGTGTGTGTTGTGCTGGAGCTCCTCGATGGTTGACATCATCTCTTCAGCTCTTGGATCTCCTCAGTGGTGAAGCAGAATCTCTAGAGGTGATGATGAGCGTCGCTGCTGATCATAGTGTGTCTGAACACCGGAGATTAGTGTCAGTGTGAAGATGATAAAGAGCTGTAGATGAAGACAGCAGATATAGAAACACACATGTAGAGCATAGGAGTGTGTCTAACACAGTGTCTGGTGCATGAGGACAGGAGGAGTGTGTCCTACGGGTGGTTTATCAAGCCCACTCACCTGCGTGGAGCACACTCATGCATCATGGCGTTATGTGCTGCAGTGTGTGTGTGCGTCACTAAAGAGGCCGGTCTTTACTCTAGTGTTGAGCTGGGAGAGTGTGTCTGAGCCTCGACATTATCAGGAAGACTATTCCAGAGTTCAGGAGCCATAAATGAGAAGACTCGACCTCCTTTAGTGGACTCTGCTGTTCTGGGAGTTTAGAGATCTTCAAGAGCGGGTTGGGTTTTAGCGAGACAGAAGCTGGGTCAGATAAGCAGGTGCTCTGTTGTTTTGTTTGTGTGTGTTCTTTATATCTCTCTCTCGCTGATGTGTGTGTGTGTGTTTGTGTGTTCACAGGCGGAGTACGAGCGAGTGTGTCGTGATGGCAGTCCTCAGGCAGTGTGTGAGCCGTATCCGCGTGTGCCGCTGAAGCTCCCGCACAGTAAAGCTCTGTACCCGCCGGTGCTGCAGTACCCGCCGCTGCTGTGCCAGCCATCCCCGTACCAGCACCCGCCATCACAGCCCAGCCCGCCCTACACTCCGGCGGGCGCACATGCACACTCACACACGCACTCACAGCCGTCCTCGCCCTACGTCCCGCCCGGGGCCTACCCTCCGCCCAGCTGGGGCTCGCCCGCGGAGCAGCCCCCCCCTCGGGTATCCCATGAGCAGTTTCGGGCGGCGCTGCAGCTGGTGGTGGAACCCGGGGACCCGCGCCAGGGCCTGGACAGCTTCCTGAAGATCGGCGAGGGCTCCACGGGCATCGTCTGCATCGCCACCGAGAAGCACAGCGGCAAACAGGTGGCGGTCAAGAAGATGGACCTGCGGAAACAGCAGCGGCGCGAGCTCCTGTTCAACGAGGTCAGACCATCTCACATGACCACACCCACTTATGAATATTCACATGTAGATTAGAGCTGGGCAAACAATAACCGTGTACAATATAAAAGTTGCCCTAACCCTAAAGCAGACCTCTTCTACACTCACACTCACTCAGATGTTGTGTTTAAACTACGTAACAATAGGGTATATGCTGAGCTAGTGTTCTTCCCATACTGATAAACTTCCGGTGAGCTGTTATTTTGAACTTTTTTCCATTTTATACGGTTCCTTTTACAGCATGGATGTTGTAATGTCATTAAAATACATTCAGTTAAATAAACTTTGGCATTCATTTAGTTGCTCAAGCGTAAAACGAGACAAAAAGCCATTTACTTGCACGTGCCTGTCAGAATCTGAAGGATAGGGCAAAAGCTCCATTGAATATAGTGGGGTAAAATAATGCTCATATTATAAAGACATGGCGGGGGAAATGTAATTTAATGCAGTGCATCTTGTACAATTCAAGACCCACTTTATATCGGATATCACTCAGCCAGGGGAGATTGCTGATTTTTAAAGAAAACAGACCTTAAACGCATCGGTTTTTGCATTGAATACAGTTCGCCGGAAGCGCTTAACCCAGGTTACTGGCAAATTAAAAGTCCTATTAGCATGCTTCGACATATTAAATTCAAAACACAACAAGTTTAGAAAATCAGAAGAAAACAGCTTATATTAAAGGGTTGTTTATTGCTGCTCAGTAACCAAATACAGCACAAACAATAGTCTGACAGTTTTTCCCAATTGTTTACACACATTTTCTGAAAGCAGGTCTCATATTGTCTGAACTCTACACACAAATCAAAACACACACACACACACACACACACACACTGGGCAAAACCCTTCAATTCTCCTGCAAAATCAAACTTTACATTCAAAACAATGTGATTTGGTTGAGGCAGTGGCGCAGTAGGTAGTGCTGTCGCCTCACAGCAAGAAGGTCGCTGGTTCGATCCTCGGCTCAGTTGGCGTTTCTGTGTGGAGTTTGCATGTTCTCCCTGCGTTCGTGTGGGTTTCCTCCGGGTGCTCCAGTTTCCCCCACAGTCCAAACACATGCGGTATAGGTGAATTGGGTAGGCTAAATTGTCCGTAGTGTATGAGTGTGTGTGGATGTTTCCCAGAGATGGGTTGCGGCTGGAAGGGCATCCGCTGCGTAAAAAACTTGCTGGATTAGTTGGCGGTTCATTCCGTTGTGGCGACCCTGGATTAATAAAGGGACTAAGCCGACAAGAAAATGATTGTATGAATGAATGAGAATGTGATTTCTTCTCAAAGGGGTATTTTGTTTTCAAATGACACACACAGACCATCACATGAATAGACATTTATTAGAACCTGTTGATCACTGATATGCTTAGTGTAAAACACCATGACCACTTCTTCTCCATTCATCATGATGACTTACTGTAAGCTTTTTTTGTTCAGTGTTACACTTTTCTACAGACAGTACATAGACCTACAGAAGTGCACACAATATTGTTTTTATACAAAACACACAAATACCAAATATATTTTGAAAAAACAGTGTACAGAGTGATCACCAACCAACACACAGATGCACATAACATGGTCGACGTATACCATCAACAGAAGGATTTACAGAATACACCTACAGTAAAAAGTCTCAGTCAAACACTTTCCATCCCCAGACAGAAAAAAAATCCTCAATAGGTTTGGAGAATATGGAGGGAGATAATCAACTAATAAACATGGGTGGGCAGAGAACCAGTTATGAAGCAGATGAGCTCTGATTTCTAAACTGCAGTTATGTGTGACTGATGTTCACCTATGTGATGTGTTAGCATGCAAAGTAGGAAACCTGACTTTACAGTTGTGAATGACAGTGTGTTCCCTGTGAAAACAAGAGATTTTCTGCATGAAAAACGTGCCAAATGCAGATAACTGTGTGTAGTGTTTAAAAAAAAAGTGTGTTTTAAACCTGCAGTTTGAGTGTGAAGCAGGAATGGGGCTTGTAGTTGAGCAGAGTTGGTTCAGGGGGATGTGCATCAGCTACATGTTATAGTCAGTGTGTCTGAAGTACAAGTAAATGTGTGTAAACAACTGAGGAAACTGTAATGAATGAAAAAGTTTTTGATTTAAACATAGGGGTAATTTTAGAATGAAAATAAATGGCAGAACAGTGAATAAATACATAAAAATAAGAATAAATAAAAATAGGATGTGTCTAATGTTAATCTAGGCTTTATATTTGGTAAGAATTTAAAAGAACTGTTGTTATCATCTGTGTTCATACATTCATCATCATTTTAATAATATTCGTCTAATGTATTTCTTGTTTACATCGCACTGAAAGCCACGCACAACTGTCACCGCTACGGCGTGATGTTTTCTACTGTGTGCTCCTGGAGGGAGCGAATGCGTCGGTCTGCTTGCAAGTCGTGCGCGCACCGCTCCCAATACGAGCATGTCTCCATTGGAAATAATGAACTTGTGTGCAGAAAAGACGCGATGTGTGAACGGCCTGCTGCTGTAGTTAATCCAGTGTGTGTGTGTATTAGACTCGGTATAAGCTCAGAGCTTTAAACTAGCGCACAGTTAGCATAACTCTGTTTAGTTGCAGCAGTTTTGTTCTGTGAAACAGAAACGCGGCGTTGAGAAGCCTTTACCATTAATTAACTGTGACGTATTAAAGCGCGGTTAATAGTGAAATCGGTTAATCATTGCATCCCTATTAACGATATCAGTGCAGTGTACAAAAGGCCTTTTCTACAATCACATCTAAATGTTTTCGGCTGCTCGCGCATCTCGCTTAATGTCAGGTGACTCACGCTCTGCGCAGCCTTCAGCTGCAGCTCGTGCTGTATTGAACAGGCGCACATCACTTCAGAACTGTAGCGGCCGTTTATCCACTGAACTAAATTGATCTCTGATGTCTCGCTCACACTATTTAAAGAGCCGGAACAAAGTGCCTCGGGGGCTGGGTTCAGCCGCCAATTGAATAGCTCTGCATTAAACAACAAATCTGTCTCTACGGTGACACCTGTAGCTCCGCCCTCTTCTGTACAGAGCGTTGTTCAGTCAGTCTTGACGGTGTGTTTGCGTGTGCAGGTGGTCATCATGAGGGATTACCATCATGAGAATGTGGTGGACATGTACAACAGCTACCTGGTGGGAGACGAGCTCTGGGTCGTCATGGAGTTCCTGGAGGGCGGAGCTTTGACTGACATCGTCACGCACACCAGGTATGAACCAACCAGAATCTCTCGCTTGTTAGGGAGATAATCCAACCCAGGCTCATTCTGAAGACGTAGTCCTGTGGACATTTCTGGAGATCGTGAATTATGTAGCCGGATGTACGTATGGCTGCATTTCTTTTTTTTAAGCGAACGCTACGGAGCGGTGTGACGACGTTCCCTTTGACGCTTAACGGCTGACCGCTTACCTCCATGTGGAGGGCTTTCCCGCCGCAACCAGTTTGTCCAGTTAGCTCATCATGTACATCAGCGAACTTGAGACGCAGGGAGGAGTTGACCACGACAACGACAGGGTTTGATTCCAGGAAAGAGCGGTTCCAGAAGGCAGGTAAGACAAAAACAGAATCCAAAAAATAAAACGAACAAGAGAATAACAGGGTGGGAATGTGGTCAAAAACGTGGTAAAAATCAGAAGAGAGCTTCTCTTTTTCTGGACTGCTTTTGTAAATCATCACTTGGGTTTTGGGAAGTTAGCGGGTGGGCGGGTCAATCTGTAATATTGTTGGGTTTAGGGAAGGAGGAGTGTGGGTTAGTCGATTGGCCGGTCACCCAGTCAATCATTTTTGGGTGAACATCGTGGGTGCAAACGGCACTTGCGAGAGACACTTGAGATACAAAAAAGTGCACACATCGGCCTCTGACGGATTTGAGAAAAGAAAAACTGCAAAAATACGAACCTCCTGGCTATGGAAGCATATGAGTAGCATAATTCAATTCAAAATGTAATATGCAAAATGGCAATGCAATATGTTAAATGGCAATGTATTTCTGTATTTGAATTTGCATTTTCCAAGACATATGACAATGTTTGGTGCAGAATGAAAATGTAAATTAAATTACACTGTTTGCATTTCTCATTTCAAACACTGTTTTAATATGTAAATTGTATCCACATTTTAAAGCTTTATAAGTAGCAAAATTAAATTGAAAATGCTATACACAAACTGAATTTGATGTGAATAAAGTAAAAGCAGAAACTGTAGCAAAATGATCATTTAAATGTTATTTGTCCTAAATGCATTTTCACTCGCGTCTAGGAAATGCAGGATTACATTTTCAGCATAACAGCATGGGATGTGTGTAGCAAAATTAATTTTGAAATGTAATTCACAAAACGATAATGCAGTATGTAAATGGCAGTGTATTTCTGTATTTCAGTTAGCATTTTCCAAGACATATGTGCAATGTTTGCTGCAGAATGAAAATGAAAATGAGAAAAACATAATGCATTTTCATTTAACACATCGCGACGAATGAAAGCCGATTTGAAATTGAAAATGCATTCTGGCCTGGCCACGCCCACAGACGGCCACCGTTGCTGCAAGGCAGGTTTTAGGTTATGTCGTCACAGCTGCATCGAGGATTATTTGGGACATTTGGCAGCATAAACATGGCGAAGTCTGTTCCTCAGCGGCTTTGTGAAGCTGCACGAGCCCTCGAGCGTGAACTGGGAAATACTTTAGAAAAGAAATCACCTCCTAGCTCAGTAAACTTGGCCTTAGGTTTGATTTTCGCGCATGCAGTTTTAGGGATCATCTGCAAATTATAAGAATTATCAAATCATCAACAGAACCAAAACGCACAGTAACGCAAAGTAGAAAAAAATTCAGGAGATTCCAATAAATGGTTAGAGGCCAGACTGATTTAATACAGGTAGCAAAGCTACTATACCTCTAACTATATGGTACATACAATGCAGAAATAGGCAATAGCTCTTGTCATAAGCATACAGTACACATCAGCTAAAGCCCCTTTAGGTTCTGTCGATGTAATTTGCAGATGATCCCTAAAACTGCGTGCGCGAATATCACACCTTAACCAAGTTTACTGAGCTAGGAGGTGATTGGCTTTCTAAAGTATTTCCCAGTTCACGCTCGAGGGCTCGTGCAGCTTCACGAAGCCGCTGAGGAACAGACTTCGCCCTGTTTATGCTGCCAAATGTCCTCGATGCAGCTGTGACGACATAACCTAAAACCTGCCTTGCAGCAACGGTGGCCGTCTGTGGGCGTGGCCAGGCCAGAATGCATTTTCAATTTCAAATCGGCTTTCATTCGTCGCGATGTGTTAATGAAAATGCATTATGTTTTTCTCATTTTCATTTTCATTCTGCAGCAAACATTGCACATATGTCTTGGAAAATGCTAACTGAAATACAGAAATACACTGCCATTTACATACTGCATTATCGTTTTGTGAATTACATTTCAAAATTAATTTTGCTACACACATCCCATGCTGTTATGCTGAAAATGTAATCCTGCATTTCCTAGACGCGAGTGAAAATGCATTTAGGACAAATAACATTTAAATGATCATTTTGCTACAGTTTCTGCTTTTACTTTATTCACATCAAATTCAGTTTGTGTATAGCATTTTCAATTTAATTTTGCTACTTATAAAGCTTTAAAATGTGGATACAATTTACATATTAAAACAGTGTTTGAAATGAGAAATGCAAACAATGTAATTTAATTTTCATTTTCATTCTGCACCAAACATTGTCATATGTCTTGGAAAATGCAAATTCAAATACAGAAATACATTGCCATTTAACATATTGCATTGCCATTTTGCATATTACATTTTGAATTGAATTATGCTACTCATATGCTTCCATACCTGGCACATATCTCACAGCCTCCAGAAGTGTCCACGGCACGACGTGTTCAGAATGAGCCTGGGTTCAGTTCATCAGTGTAATCCATTCAGAAGAGGGTGCAGGGGTCAAAATAAGTCTGATTGGCACACTTCTGAGTGATCTTAACCAGACGATCTTAGATCTCACACAACACATTCACCCGTTCATTCATTCATGCATGTCTGTATTTAGCCTAGGGGTCACCAAACCTGTTCCTGGAGGGCTGGTGTCCTGCAGATTTTACCCCCAACCCTAATCAAACACACCTGAACAAGCTCATCAAGCTCTTACTAGGTATACCTGAAACACCCAGGCAGGAGTGTTGAGGCAAGTTGGAGCTAAACCCTGCGGGGACACCGGCCCTCCAGGACCGAGATCGGTGACCCCTGATTTAGCCTGTGTGTTTGTGTCATGAGTGTGCTGTGTGCCTACATTTATTGAATGCATTTGTCATGTCTAAATACTTTTCTATTTTTCATTGTATTCTCTACTGTGTTTCTGCGATAGCTCTTGTGTGTTCATTCTTATACAAATTGGAAAAACATTTGCCCAAAGGATTAAGGGAGCCTGCACTGAAGTGTCCATCAGCTGTACCCTTAAAGTCCTTATTAATCCATCTGTGAAGTATCGATGCTCCAATACGGCGGTGTTTTCCTGCAGTGCCCTTCAGGGGGCGCTGTACCCGTCTGTAGCGCAGTGAATCTCCACAGAAATGATTGTTTTGAGCGTGATTAGCAGTGTCTGACCTGATCTAATGTGACGCTGATTCTCTGTAATTATCTGAACACTGAGCTGAGGATGATGGTGATGCTGAAAGTTTGCGTTCGCGAGTGTGTTGTACTGTCCGCCTGTGTGTGATCGCTCTGATAATTACAGTAATTGGCGTTGTTCGTCAGTCCTCGGTGGTGCTGTGGGCTGTAATTGCAGGTTTTCTGGAGCTCCTGTCGCTTCATTTCTCTGCAGATCTGCTTTAGTTCAGTGTTTGTTTAACTGTGATGAACACTGCAGATCCCTCAGTAGACGGCTTCATCAGTAGTGCACTACATTCTGTCAGATGATGATTATTACAGCAGAGCGTTCAGCAGCTCTCAGAACACAGAGCAGGGTTATAGACACTGTGTGAGACTGGATTATAATACATTCCAGCTCATATTTCAGCATTAATAACTGATCAACTGAATATTGTCTCGCTTTTCTGTGTTAATGACCGCAGTGTTTTGTTTGAATATTCATAAATCAGCACTATGCTCTGTGTGCCATATACAGAGATGGCAAAAGCACACACATCCTTTACTTAAGAAGTACAGATACTCGTGTTTAAAACGACTCTGGTCAAAGTAGAAGTGCTGACTACACTTTTGTACTCACTGTTGCAAACTATTTTCAACATAAAGGCGGTAAGCTCTGCCTAAAAAGTGGCTAGATTACGTCAAACGTTAATTTGCATATTGCTGACGTCAGCACGTTCCACCATTTCTGTTTAACAGTCTGGTTAATAAAGGGGTATTCATATCTGCACTACGCTTTATGTTTGCATGTCAGTTTAACTGAATGTTTTGCTGTTTGAATACAGTATATCAGTATAGATGTGTAGTGAATCTCTCAGACGTAATAAACTCAGACAAGTTCTGAAAATTGTCACTAAAATATCTGTAAACAAGAAAAGAATAAATTATCAAATTAAACTGTTAAAATAAAGGAGGAGCAGATCTGTTTGACTGTACAGGGGAAATACCTTCACACCGCCGGTGCTAAATCATTTGCCGTCGGTGCGCAGAGGAGAGATCTGCTCTCAGGCTGCAGGTGGGAGAGAGTGCTGTACGAGGACTGGGCCGCCTGGCACTGCTCTGGGGCGGGGGAGGGGCCGGCAGCGTCACCCGCAGCTCGGTGACAAGAGTAGAGACGGTACAGTATGGACAAATGACAGACTATAAATATCTCCAGTAACACACAAAACGCTAGATTTGTCGCTAGTCGCTTTTTGGACAATTTGTCACTAGGGGGGTCGGAAAAGTCGCTAAATCTAGCGACAAAGTCACTAAGTTGGCAACACTTTGTACTTCAGTAAAAGTAAAGAAATTCTGCCTCAAAAATGTACAAAAGTAAAAAAGTTAAAAGTATCAACCACAGTCCAGAGACATGCGGTACATAATAGGTGAATGAGTGTTTATAGTTGTTTCCCAGTACTGGGTTGCAGCTGGTAGAGTATCCGCTGTGTAAAACATATGCTGAAATAATTGGCAGTTCATTCCACTGTGGTTCCCTCCCTACTGAAAAAACTGCTTAAACCAGCCTAGGC